GGGCCTAATCGCAATCCGTAATCTTGGTTGCTGTTGACCCCCCTGCAAAAAGTTTAACTTTTTGAGGGTTTAGTGGAAAACACCTTTATTTCAACAAGAAATAAAGTCTAAAGATCCAACCCAACAGCAGTCGAGCAACCTGCCTAATCCTTCTCTTGGTTGATAGTCTTCCTATTCTGGAATCCGCGCTGCAAATTGCGGGTCGAAACCTCATGCTGGGGCATCGAACATCCATGCAACGCAATCTGCAAGCCGCATCATCTAATCCATAAACCTAATTTGGAATCCGCTAATCATTGGGGAATAGGGTTTGGACAAGCTAGAAAGAGGTGCAAGTGTCTTCAAACTGGTTGGAAACACTTGATGGCCGTTGATCTTGCCGGCTTTCCTTTCTTGTTTGCAAACTTCAATTACGCAACAAACTTCCATTACACAACTTGGTATCGGAACATGTGAGCCCTCCAAAAAAATGACTGTTTCCCATTGTGGGAAATTTGGGCGGGTCCCGACTTTGGAGAATTTGGGTGGGACCCCCTCCCCTAACCAATAGGTACTCACACGTGCCATGGCTCAAACTCCCCGCCATGGTCTATAGGCATCCTTTGGCGCTCCCATCAGCCCTACAGGATCCGTGACTATCCGTGCCAACCCACAGTCATACTAAAGTAGGTCGGGGGGGTTCAGATTTTTGAGGGTCCAACACCAAAACATCGTGTTCACCAAAACACATAGAGGTCCCTCTAAAAGAATCAGCCCAATAGGAGTGAAAACAAAACTGTGCAATTTCAAGGGGCAATGTTCTCTAGTTATCCTTCTCTCGAAACAACACTTGGAGATTTCCCGTGCAAAAGGGTTTTCGGATACTTTGGTCGCGATACTTATAACAATTGAGGTCCAAAGGCAGGGTGAGTGGTTGGGAGCTGTCCCTCTTCCCCAATTCACAGCGTAGAGCTTGACGTCAACGATGCATGGGCTCCCTCAGGCTCGGACCTTGCTCCAGTTTCATGAATTTTCTGTTTCCAGGAAAGGGAAATGACTTGCTGGTGCGATAGGTTTTGGGAATGAAGGAAACCATGGGGAATGCATTCCCTGCTGAGAACCAGCAAGATGAAACCATGCAGGAATTCCTGAGGTTGTCCCCCTGTAGGCCCCCTGTGCAAAGGTGAAACTGTTTGCTGTGTGTGGTAAAACGCACATTTCCCCAAGCAGGTGAGCGGTTAGACTGACCTCAGGATTCTCCAAACACCAAGTCGCCAGGGTAGAACATCGGCCCCCGGAAAAGGGAAACACCAGGCCGCAATACTAACTATGTGCCCTCGTGGTTTGGTCGTTGGATCGAAAAAAAAAACCCTCAGAAGAGCCAACGGAATAGCACGCTTCCTCAGTGGCTTGGCAACGAAAGTGCAACATGTTTGCTCGCCGCCACAGCAGTCGCCCCAAACAGTATAAAGTCCATGCACCCGGGGAGTGACTGAAGAGCGTGGCCTCCGTGAAACATGTGCAGCCAGCTTCGGTCCTTCAGCGGTCGCGGCGGAGAATCCGCTCCACCCTTGTCCGTCCAGTGCCAAATGCGGCGCCGCTTCTGCATATTGGCGTTCCTGTCCGCCGCAGACATCAGAGCAAGGGGAGCCAAGATAAGGTGGCGCTTGGTTCTTCATGGCGCCCCTGGCAACGAAAAACACTAGGCTGCATTAATTCAATGGCAGCAGTGGCTGGCTATGACTCTGAATTAGATTAAAAGGTGTGGGACCCACCAATCCACAGGGCATTGCCTTTGAAATGAAATGTAGTTCTCAAGGTTCATGCACACACACCCTTTTGGTTAAAAAGAAACCAACAGTCCAGTGAAATCCCCAAGCTGCACAGAACATGAGCCCCTCTGACATGCGCACAATAGGGGGTCCGTTGCGACATGTTCGTCGCTCGTTTGTCTACCTGACTCCAGATGCACCGAGCGCGCTTCTCGGACGCGCAAGTGCAATTTGAGGGCCACGCTTAATAGCATCTTCGCACAAACAAATGTTCCAAAAACCAGTTGAAACCATCGACCCACACATTGAGACAAACACTGATCAATGTAAGGCTGTCAAGCAACTGCACCCTGCACCCTCCCCCCCCCCCCCCGCAGTCATCCATGCAGCAACGGATATGCAGAAATGGGGACTGTGGCAGGGCTCCCCTAGAAACAAAACCTCGATACCGCATGCCTTGATGTCAGCTTTGCATCCACATATCATGCTTGATGGCACAAAACCCTATGAAAACCGCCTGGAAAAGAAAACCATCAGCAACCTCAATATCTTTTTTTGTTGCCGGTCAGCTGGTGCAAAACAATCAGAGGCCTCGAGGGTGGTGTGCTTAGAGAAAACCTGGGTAGCAACCTCAAGCATATGTATTCTCTGCGGCTGTTAAACCTCATGTAATGAAACATGCGTTGCAAAGCGTGCCTTCTTCATAACCCGGTCAACTGGGAGCTGACCAATTTAAAGCATCTTGCACCCGTTGGAATTGATGGATGCACCTGCCCTCTAAAAGTATCGCGCCGTAAACCGCGCTTTCCTTGGGCGCAATTTCCTCAAGCAGACGCAGACACATGGCCTAATGTTTCCACCCCCCCCACCCTCCAAAACCCCCCACCCCGAAGCAGATGAAAAAGGAAAAGAAGCTCCAATCCGCCACCCCCCCCCCTCCCTCCCGAGCAGCATCAAGAAGCACCCATTGCCCTGATTCCCTGGCATCTCAACCCCTAAGCTGATGTTCCGACTCCGATTTCAGCCGCTGGCCTCAATTCGCGCACTTCTTCGTATCTCAAGCGGAGGTGGTCGTCCTAAGGGATGCGATCGATGTGGCTCTGCGTTTTTTGGAGGGCGCCCTCTGAAGAATCGGTTAAGAGGGGAACCAAAAGCACAACCACCTTTTTGGCCCCCCCGGATTCTGCGCTGAATCTGCACGGGGGTTCACAGGCCCAGGCTTGGAGACCTTCCATTCCTGAAGACACGTAATTGGAGCAACAGGAGGAAGCAGTTCCATTTTGTCACCAGGGGTTGGTCCACATGGAGCGTGGAGCATTGGGAAAAATCATGTTGACTCCTTTGGTAGTCACTAGCGATTTGCGGGGTATGAAAAGCTGACATATGAAGCCTACAGCGGCTTTCTCAAGCACGACACATCCTATGAGGTGGGTCCCTTGTCTATTTGGCAGACTGGCATGGCGTCTTTGGCTTCTTGATTGACTGATTCAGACGCCATTAATGTGGAACGTTGACCTAGGCGTGCAAGTATTGCAGTGGGAATTATCAAGTACCTCTCTCATTCCCAAACAAGTGATTCACCACTCTTGTGAGCTTCAAGTTGACACCTGGCCAGGGTACAAGTCTGGTGAATGCCACGTCAAAGGCTTCGAAGCTGTTTGTAGCACTCTCTACTTAGATGTTCGGTAAAGTTAGTAAGTGGTTAGCCACCTGGGGTAGAACCTACTTGCGCGTGAGTTGGGCTGGTTGTAAGTAGGTTGTAACTCAAACAGCTACTAAGCATTAACTTGGCGAATCGAGCACCCAACGAGGCCAACGACCTGGCTCCTGGTCAAACCCAAGCAGTCCGCTTTAAATGAAGCTGAACCAGAGTTTGGGTCACCAGAACATTCAAGCATAGGAGTCCAACCCCCTTCCCCTGCTTCCCCTGCAAAAAAACAACAACCCCAAAAAACAACCCCAAAGAGAAACGGGCGTAGGGGGAAGGTGAGATCCTATGAAGTTTTATAAGGGGCCTCTAACTGTTTCGCTGCTTTTTTGTTTGTTTAATCATGACTTGATTGGGTTTACTACCGTGGATGGACCAACTCTTGCACCACCCAAGAAACCCTAGAATGATGATTCACCGGCAAATCCCAACAAACCAATGGTTTCCATGGCTTCAAAGTGGTGCAGAGTTTTCCTCAAAATCCACAGCCCTCACTTCTGCGCGGTTCCAGTTCCCAGTGCCGGCTCCTGCTGCTTCCGGATGATCCGGAAGGATGCATCAATCGGCAAGACGTCCGAACCCTCCTCCACCATCCTCGCAAATTTGGCACCAGGATCGATCAAACATAGATTGTGGGTGTGTTCGTTTGAGGATACACGAGGATACGCGTTTCACCTTTGGTGGAAAGAAACACCAAAAGGAAACCAAACGATTTTTGGGATCCCTATGTTGAGAAACAGCCACTTCGAGGGGAACCTTCACTTTGACGGGTTGCACCCCCTACAATCTAATGGGTTGATCAGTATGGGGATCAAAGTTGCCTTCTTGCGGAAGCGGGTTGGGGTAGTAGATGGCACAAGTAGACAGTACTCCCATCAAGTCCAACACATTGCAGGTATCGCATCCAGTCTGCTGAAGTTGGATTGCCTCGGAACAACAAATGCGACTCAGAACGACAGCTTGTGCTTCCGGGGCGAAGCTTGTCCAAAATGGTTGATCAGAAAAAGGATCGCACATCAGTAGGTTGTGAGAATGGCTAAATGGAGCAACTCGAATCATCCAGGTGTGCTTTCGAACCAAAGCTTTGGATCCAACGAGTCTCGGAACCTCCCAGGACTGGATCCCTTGCGGAACCAAAGCATCCGAACCGTTTGGGTCCACCCGGGCTTGTGGTTTTCGCATCCAAGGCGCTTCTTTAGATCCAGCGTTGAGGTCTGCGAGCTGAAACCTGAGGCCAAAGTGGGCCGGCCAAGGGATCGATGTCGAGGGGGTGATTCCTCAATCTGTTCACCCATTGATTCTTTCCACAACTTGCCATTGTCCCTTGTGATTTGGTGGTGTTTCAGGAAAACCAGGATCCCTGGAACGAATGTGGAAGTTCACCCCAACACAATTCGCTGTATTTGGAATTCTGAAAACGGGGAGGAGGTGCATGTTTCTCCCAGGAAACGGCGCAAGGCTTGGAGATGGCGTCCATGGCTCCCTAAGAGACTCTCACTCTCTCTGGACGATCCCTGTCTCGCCTTTGGGTTGTGGGCCGCTCAGGGCCCCCGGCAGTCCCATTCCAGGCGAATCTGCGTAGAGATGCCCTTGTCCATGCGGCACCACACTGAGAAGGTGAAGGCCTGCACGCCAGGAACATATGCATGCTTCTCAATATCAGGAAACACCAAAATGTGTTACGTGTCCTCGCGGCGCTGCTTCAAAACGACCACAAAAAAGGGGTTTACCACTTCAACAAACAAAGGCGGTATCCCCGACAGCCCTGCGACCCTTCCGGAACTCGCCTTGAAAGCTGCTGCGAACCACCCCAAAGCATATACAACTTTCAGCTGTTGGGGAACAACAATGCCAGCAAGCGAGCTTTCCTTAGGCGGAGTGACGGCGACTCATTCGCAAGCTGTGAGTTCGCTATTTGCCTTGTCCATAAGTTTGGCATGGCCCCATTCGTGCCTTAGCAAGTCTGCCAGCAAAAGCATGTTGTCTTTCCAGCAGCATCGCCCTCCATCAAACGCACAAGTCCTAGGGTAGGCTATGCAAATGAATAACAGCGGCATTCCAAGGCCCAAGTCCGCAAGAATAATTCGCGCACGGCTTTGTTTGTGAGGTCCCAATGGTTCTTCGGCCATCAGCTTGAGATACGGTGGATAGACGAAATCCTGCACCCTGAAACCAGGCGAAACCATATTATTTGTTGATATTTATCGGGGTATTACCAGAAACTAGGGGTTCTTAGGTGGTATCAGTTGGTATTTCCCGGGGAATCACCAGAAACCAGGGAAGCTGCGTTCTGTGGTGCGAGAAGCGGATGTCGCAACCACCCACGTGTATCAAGATGTCGATTCTGCTTCAACCATCCGGCCGGGTACACATCGAATTTGGCCCTGAAAAAAAAAAAAAAAACACGGAAGCCAAACACAGGGATGTGATGTGAAGTGGTTGTGATACGTGTCATACCCTTGTGGTTGTGATGTGCCAAACACGGCTCAAACCATATTTTCATACCCTTGTGGTGTGATTTGTTGAGGCTGGGAGCAGCCCCGCCGTTGATTGAACATCATGTTGACTGCAGATGCTTGATCATCATACCCGGCCATGGGGCATAACCTATGGCTCCATTTTGGGGTGGATGAACAAGCATTTGCCACCTAGTTTGATGTTAACCAGAGGTACAGGGTCTTGACCCACAGTCGTATTTGTACAGTGGATGGACAAAATCCAGCACCACCGAAGAAACCCTGGCAGGATGATTCGCTGATAAGTACCAACAAAGAATGGTTTCAACCATGGTTTCTTTGGGTGGTGCGAACGGACTTCGTCCATCCACAGTATACCTAGATCTTCTTTGAGAACAATTTCCCAACATGTTCCTTAAAAAGCAAAAAAAACGCGCATTGTTGGAAAACACGCTCATTTACCCAAAAAACACACATTTCGGTTCGACCAGCCATGTTCAAAACAAGTTGGTTTTGGGCTTTCCGCCGATTTCCGCGCATTTTCCGCCGATTTCCGCGCATTTTCCGCCGATTTCCGCGCATTTTCCGCCGATTTCCGCGCATTTCTGGTGGCCAAATTTGCTGGATTTGCCACAAAATGGGTGCGGAACATGAAATTTGCAGTTTCCGCGTAGATTTCGGAAATTCCGCTCAATTGGCAAAATGAGCAAAAATAACGTAATGAGCAAAAAAATGTTCCTTTTTGAGGGTCCAGGTATAGTTAGGTTTGGTCCACAAACGCGATTTCTGGACCTTCAAAGTGGAGGGCTGGAAGAGTGACTCGCATCCATTTCCGGATGGTACTGAAAAGGTTGGACTAACGCCGCCTGCGAATCAAAACGGGTGCATCCCAGCACCCAGAATACAATTGCAGGGCTCGCCCCTCAAAGGGCACGAACAACGTAACCAACTCCGGGACTTGTTTGGAAAAGCAATTCTCTACTAATCAAAGCTTAGGGATGATTCCGCAAAAGGTTACATGCTCTGGGGAATGGTGAATCTCCCGACTTTGACACAAACCAAAACTATACGCCCTCGGCTCAAGCCATTCTCGGGGTAGACCGGAAACAAGCATGGTGGAATCAACGGCACCACTAGAATTTGAGGAGCCGACGCACCGGAACAACTGCAAAGCTTGGCCTTTTTCAACCCGTGCACATGGCAGTGGAACAACAACCATTTCTGTGATACCAAAGGGATTCTTCCCATGACACTTTTCTCACATTGGGGGGGATCCCCTGATTCCCTTGGGATGTTCTCAGAGAGTTGCCCGACGATCCGAGCTTCTAGAAGCATCCGTTTGGAGGTTGGACCCAAGTCTGATAACTGGGGCTATCCGCCTTAGACCAACAAACTCACCTGTGTATTTGTAAGTGGGTATGTCTCGATATCGGGCTGGGGGGCAAAAGACTAGTGATTTTCCCGCTTACTTGCCTTTGACCCAAAGTGAAACAGGCTACCTTCATACACAAATCGGGGTGTCTCTTTTAGCGGACCTCCCCAAAAAAGTGGTTTCCTTCTAATTTCCCAAAAGGAGGCTGCCTAAAACACACCCACACCCAGTTACGCACACACACACACACACACCCAAGTGAAAAAACACACAAGCATTCCGCGCGCGGGGAACCCGCGCCCGTTCGGTGCGGGAGGGCAAGAAGAACTGCTCGCGCTTCTCGTCTGCCTCTGCCCTGGCGAAAATTGCCACTCTTCCGCCCAGTTTGGCCCAAACTGGCTTTCTTTCTGGTTTCCCTACCTGAAAAGGCCCGACCATGAGTGTCTCAATCCTCCCCCCACAAATGTGGCTTTTCGAGTTCGCCTATGGTCGGTGGATGGGCCAACCATCAGGGGCCCTGTTCGACAGGCACTAATAAACGGGCTCCGATGGCTTGAACCAGAATGACAATGATGTGTCGCATCCTAAAGTGTTAGAATCCATGTGTCACCCAAAACCAGCTTGTTTTGTACTTGGATGTTCGGCCAAGTTAGTAAGTTGTTGGTAACTTTGGTTGTAACCAACATTAAATTCCCCCCTCAGTGGAGTTAACATTGCTATAACGAGCATATACCCCAAGTGGCTAACCACTTACTAACTTCGCCGAACTCAGAACAGCGAAACATAAATTGAAGAATGATTGCTGGCCTCAAAGGTCCTCAGGCTTGGCAAAGTCTGATACCCTCTTTTCCACATGCGACCACTGCAGCCTCTGCGATGGCAGCATCGCATACGTCACTCCAAAGGTTTCGCCTATCCGCCTTCTAACCTCTGGGTCACAAGGCCAAGCTGCTCACTGGATGCCGTGGAAGGGGGGGCCGTGAGGATTTAAAAGGATGCCAGCTGATTGCAAGTAAAACCACAACTCATCGCTACCAGATGCACTCAACCTTGGGGGCCCACCAAAAAGGGTGTCTCTCACTTACTGCAGCTCTTTTTCTTTTTTTTTCGAAAAGACGTTCAGTTAGATATTACAGCACAAGGGCAAATTCCATTTCATGTGGTGCGGTGGACAAGGGTTTCTAGGGCTGCCCACGAGTTTTTTCATGGAGTCTTTGCAAAGGACACACACAGTTGCCTTGGGTTGTACGCGTTGGGTCATCAACACTTCCAACAAGAATGCAGCTGCCATGAGGATAGCTTCTTTGTTCAAGGGAGACCATGACAAGGAAGGTTGGCCGGACCTGGGCATCCCATAGAATGGTACTGGAAGCCTTGCCGCTTACAGCCCAAATTGGTGTGTCTCCTCATGGGCGAATCAAAAGGGATCCGTGCAGACACTCCACTTGGATATGATTGCCTATGACATAATATACATCTATGACAAACACATCTAATGCCAACATTGGAACTCCGCGTAACGAGCAAACTACCTAGGCAACATAGCCATGCACAACATTCAACATGCACGTCTTTAATCACATGCGATCGATGCGCAAGCAATGAGGCGCACCCGGAATTCTTGAGGTAGGTAAGGATGCGATAGTCGTGGTTCGGCTCTTTCACATCCTGTCAATTTCACACCAGACCACCCCATGTGGCCCCATTATCTTATTACGATCAAAGCCACCCAAGTTGTAGGTGGACAAAATGATAAGAAACCCACAACATAACTCCATAATTAAACAGTCAACACAACCCAGAAACAGAAGCAACAGAGTGGTAGCTTCTGACTTTCATAACCCCAACAGTCAGGGGACAAAGCTCCAATGGGTGTGCACATTTAAAGGGGGGCCCTTTGGTGGACATCATTTAGGTGGGGACCCACCAACCACTTTGGAGGTTGTTCCCTACTCAAGTTCATAGCCAATATTGTCGAGGGTCATGGCTCCCTGAATAGGAACCCTTAGAAGGTTGTCTAAAGCCTGTATTCAGAGGTTCATGACCATCCATATCAACCCAAAGCAAAAGGGTGTTTTGACCATGGCGCATATATCCTCGAAGTCAAAGAGTTAAAGCTACACTCAGCAATGCTATTGTGTTTTGTCTTCTTCTCGAGGGACTACAAGCTGGTGCGCCTCTGTTGTGCTACCCTGACAAGACTCACGTGAAAGCCATCTATCACAGTACTTGAATCTGCCCCCAAATGGAGAACTTTGCCATGAGGAATTGTAAGGAATTGTCCCCCGACAATCTGAAGGGAGGGACAGCCAAAGTACGTGGTCCCTCGTGGGTGTCTTTTTCGATAAACCCCGACAAAAACGCAAACTCCAAGCAACACACATCCAGCTATGTCGAAAGGGCTCCTTGACAGTGAGCCCTGTCGCGCCACATGAGTCCCCCAAAACGTTATCATGCGGCACTTGCGGTGAGCGATCCATACCAAAAAACGGTGCCGTGCCCAAATCGAACACTCAAAAGAAGGCTCCTGCTGACATGTGCTGTCTTCTCAGGAATCCGCCGAGAAAATATGTCGGTAACATAACAGCCGTCTTGAGTACGGGTTGCCCCCCAAAAGTAAACACATTGAGCACCTCTCCTTCATTGTCTTCTTAAAACAAAAGCACTGGTGCAGAACACACAAGCACATGGCCAAGCAATCAACTAGTCTGCTGAGGTGTTGTTGGTCTACTCTGGAATCCAAATTGGAGGTGGGAGGCTTGAAGCATGGCGAGCGCCCTCACATTTGGTTTCAACAAAACAGCTTGCGACACCTGCAACCGCACTGGCCTAGAACAATGTCCGTTGCCCCATCTTCCAAGCAGGACAGGTCTGATCGCCACCTGCCCCCATAGGATTCTAATCTCCCAAGAAAACAATTGGGACTCTCAACCATACCCAACTGTGCAGACAGAGAGATGGGTTGGATGCATTCCCTGGAAAAGTCACCAAACATACGAGGAGCACTATGCCCAAGTGATAGTAACATATCCCAGGTGATCCTCTCGGGTGCCACGTGGTGATTTGGAGACACTGACGTCTGAGAGAACATGAAGCCAAGGGCCACAAACTCCAACGGTCGCCTGCTTCTTGGAGTCTTTCTTGGGCAACACCGGGCCGTGCGGATGCAGCGCCTCAGATCGTTGAAGCGGACAATTGCATCATACATGGAACCATTGTATGTGCAAATTAATAAACAAGTGAAACACACACACACACACTCTCTCTCTCTCTCTATGTATATATATATATGTATCTAGGGTATGACTCCGATGCCAAGGACAATTGTATACATATATATATATTATGTATTAAAGCATTACACACGTCTATATTTGTATATCATGCAGCATTATTTGACCTAGCCCCGTCCCCATGATCGCTTGATGACAGCATACCCTCTTCTAAAGAACTGGTACATACTCCATCGTTTGAGCTGGAAAGAAAACATTGCTTTGCATATTCATGCATACTCCCCGAAGAAAACCCAACGAACTCCGCTCCCCTACTGCTTACGCATGATGGAACCCCAAAAACCACCAGACTCAGAGGAAACTCCTTTTTGGGGGGCACCCCCTTTTTGGGGTTCCGTCCCGTCAATTTGTCGGGGAGACTCCGTGTCTCAGGGGGTTCGGACGCCAACAACGAAGCCGCCGTGACCGTTTTCGGGTGCTCCAGCGGTGTACATCACCTCAAGGACCTGGGCGTTTCGAAGGGACGGTCAGGCTGCGAGTCTGGTCCAGTGGCTCCAAAAAGGACCCCCCGAAAAAATGTGTGGCCGTTGTCCTTTTCGGTTCCCTTTTAGGGTTCTCCCTGTTTTTGGGCATCCCCACAAAAAATGTATGGCCGGTGTCCTTTTCGGCTAATTTTTGGGGGGCTGATCCGGATGGTGGCGAAATCCGTTCGTGCCACGAAATGAAACCATGGTTGAAACCATTCTTTGTTGGGACTTACAAAGGAATCATCAGGTTTCTTAGTTGGTGCAAGTATTGACAAGGGAACCATACACTGTACTTTTGGAAACACCAATTCAACATGAGCCTCAAAATGTACGATGTCAAAAGTCGGGGCAAATTGCTGCAAATCTCAATTCGGAAATAACGGATCAGGGGGGACCTTCATCATGGGTAAGCTGGGGTGCCAAGTGAGCTCATTATATTTTGAATCACCTGCTTGTGACTTTCCTTCAACAGGCAGGCTCCTGTTGAATTAGGGTTAAAACCATTTGGAGGTTAAACAGCGCGCCTATGTCTTGAAGCGGGCTACCCATCCCACTTCAAATCTGCTCGATAAACAGGCAAGAATGTGTTCCATTTCACTTCCATTTAATTTCCCTTTAATCCAACCCCAAAAGGGCTTCGTACCCTCAACAAAACACAACCCCACTTGAACACTCGCCTTGGATTGACCACTTCACACACTGCGGTCTTCATGTGTGCAGTAGAAGCCAAGAGTTGGAGTAAGTTTGTGGCGCTTGTTCTTGCCTCCCCACAGCGCATCACCTACAAGACTCCCTTCCATTTGCCCCTTCACCCTACCAAAAGGAAACTCACACTGTTCCAAAAGTTGCTCCTCTGTCTCTTGGAGCAACCAGAAGTAAACTCTGATTTCTCCGATGTACTCGTGGGAGTGAGTGAGTAGCGCACTGCTATATTACTGTGCGCACATATGCGCAGTTGTTCCGAAGTAGTCAACGCAGCCAGGTTTGTCGAATGTTGCGTCAGTCTTTCGGCTGGTATGAAGTGCAAAGCAAAACTTTGCCAGGTCACAGCCCTCGAAGAATAATAACCCGCTTCGACTGGTTTGCGACATTCATTGCCCGTTTAAGAGTCGAGGGATCCTGTCTGTACCTCCCCCCCAAAGCGAAGGTCCAACGCTGCACTGGTCCCACAAATGGCTGGCTGCAAACCCTGGCAGAATATCCCGTTTTGGCTTTTGCATGGCGCATCATAGCCGAGTGGGGAACTTGTTGGGCTATCTCGTGTTGCCAGCAATGACCTGTTTCACGGCTGTCGACAAACAGATCGGAGTTGCCTCCACCGCCCCCAAACACTGACCAACAGGGCGCTCCCTTATAACGAGCTATCAACGCCCTTTGATTGAGTTTTTCAGATTGGGACCTTTCGTAGATTCCCATAGAGCATCGAATCAACAAGCATCAATCAAAGGGGGCATGAAAAAGGGCTTGCCCCTTGCCTAGTTGGGGTACAGAGCAATGAACCGGCCAGACTTGGACTGGGTGCACGGAAGCCTTGACCGTTTGATGCCCGTGGCAGTATGGAGCCATACAAGGTGACAGCGGGCATACCTTTAAGGCTTATATACCGATGGCCATCTTGGCGTGGGGTTCCTTGAACATCATGTTTTGTGACTCTCCATATCAATCCGAACAGGTAACATGTTTCTGGGACCGAAGACGGCAGATATGTTCCCATCCAGGTCTTTTTGAGGCGGTGCCGGGTGTCTCAGGAAACCCGGCCCTGGACCGCATGATGCGATTGCAGTTGATGGTAATGGCCCGCAGGGATTCCACCTCAGGCGTGTGGGGGGACGGCAAACGGCATCGCCTTTTGAGGGCGTTTGGTTTGGTTTAATGGAAAACCCATTAGTTGGCAAAAAGTCAAAGTCTTAACATCCAAGCAAAATGCACCAAAGGTTTGGTCAGTGAATGCCAAGCAGAGCACCCCCTCCACCTCTGCCAGCTGGGGCCGCATGATTGCTTTGAAAAGGGCAAGTCCAAGTAGGCCAGTCATTCTGATTCCGCGCGGACAAGTTCCGACAATATGAGGGTGGACCAATGTATCTGATCAATTTGTCCTGAGATTGCACAGGTTCTAGGAATAGGTGCCCAATGAATGCAAATACTCAAGTGAGGCAGACTGGCTTAAACTGGAATCCTGCGTGGTCCGGAAAACAGTGCGGAACCGAAGAGGCAGTTTCATCAAGCGCTGGACATTGCAGATACTTGCCCGTTTGTTGCGTCGGAAAGCACTTACAGTTGATGAGGTTCTGGCGGTGGCGTGACGAGAATCAACATTCCAGCAGGTGACATGTTCATGAAGGAGCAGATGTGGCTCTCGGGTGTGTTATTCTTTAGGAGACACCCATAATGGTTGGTTTTCCTTTTGTTCTCAAAAAAGACAAAACATCCCAAAAAGGGTACCCTCAAAAAATCAGATCCTCTGGAATTGCAAGGCCTCAACTTGCCAAAGGCCTTCATACCCGAGAGTCAAAAAGCAGCATCCATCCCATGCAGAGACGCCATGAGAGTGATGTCCGGGTGCAAGTCCGCGAGCAAGGACTGGCGACTTCAGGTGCCATAAAGAGTGCCCTTGCCTTGGGAGCCTGTTGAAAACTGACCCTGGAGTCCACCACATGCTTGGATTCATATGCCGGTTGAGGAGAAACCAACTGGGTGGGATTGGGTTGGGTTGTATGGCCTGCGAAAGCTGCACAAAGACCCCGGAAATGTAAAAAAAATGCTACCTCTTGAACATGTGGCGTACTTCGCTTATGACGGCAGCTGCTCTGAGTTTGCTGTGCATCGAACATGGCGACTAAGCCAGGGGATGGGCAAGTGCCTGGGCGCTCGGACAAATTATGTCCTCACCCCTGCTCTACGTCTGCCTCTTCGGCCAGCTGCCAGTTCCCTTGGCATACAAGTTCAAGCCGCTCAATGACTGCCAAGGGAACATCCCTTGAACAAATGAGGGTCTCGGTGTTTCTATGGTGCCCTATAGTTGAGGGTTGACTCAATGGAACACCAAATCCGAACCAAGGAGTAAGGGGCTTCCCCGATTTTGAGACAAACCACATGTGGGTCTCAAGTGCCTCGGTGACATTGCTGCATTCTCTTTCAAACAAAACCCCTTTTGGGCAACCTCAACAAGTGCGCCAGCCGATCCAAACTCACCGCTGCCAACCACGAATCAGAATATGACTGCTTGCTTCTCCATCATCGGTAACCACCAAATGCAAAATAGGTCAAACGGTCAAACAGACAGCTCATCGATCCATCACAAGGGGGGGGGAACCCCACCATACCCCTTGAAACTTGGCGGATCTCTGGGTCCAACGGAACATGGCTTCCCGGTGTCCGAACTGTGTCCTTCCACCAACCGAACTTGGTCGGGGGGTGTCTTTAAATAGACCCTGCAAATGGATTTCGGCTTTCCCTTTGTTATTGCTTTAAACCAACCAAGGGTACCCACAAAGAACAGATTCAACCTTTAAACCAAACCCACGTACCCAAAAAAGTTTGCCTGATCGTTGATGCCGATGTCTACTTCCACATCTCGCAGCATGTCCTGAAGGCGCGGAGTCGAAGGTGCGGGCTTCAAGACTTTGGGTGCCAAGACCCACGTGGTGTTTTTGTTTCCTTGTCTTTTTTTGAGGGTACCCCCTTGTTCGGTTGCTTTAAAGGGAAACCAAAAGGACTTGGTTTTTTTGCTTTTTTTTGGGGGGGTGGGGGGGTGGGGCCGTTTGGTGTCGTTGGATTCAAATCAGTAACTATGTCTCCCACTCCACATACCCATGCTGCTTAAAGGTATGATGTCAACCCCTAACTATCAAAGAAGGCCGGCCTCTACCATCATTTTAATATAGCGTTACAGTGGAGGGTACTTGTTGTACGGGCAACCCTCAAAATGAATTGCCCTTGGGTGCCCTTCAACAAAAAAAAACAAAAACAAGGAAGGGGACTGGAGTTCGAAGACTACAATGTTAAAGGGTCTCCCTTCCATGCTTGGTAGAAGATACCCAAACTGGCCCCGTTCAAAGACACTCAAAAGTCCACCCACCAACCCTTGTGGAGCCAGCAAAAAAAAACCAGCCAATTGACCTTTTCCATTTGAGTGTGCGTAGTGTAGAAAGAGATCGTACATGTCAGGCTGCGCGTCTCTCAGTTGTTGTTCTGACCAATTCCAAATCCAACTCGAGGCAACCTCCCACAACGATGGCCTTCGAAATCCTATCCGGCCTTCTCTTTGGACATGATGATAACTTTACGAAGGCCATTGTATTGACTAAAGAAAGATCCTCACGATCACCCAGCTTGGCCCTGTCTCGCTGAAAGGACTGAGGTGATGCTTCCAGGGACGAAGCTTTCTCTCTTCCACCTGTCACTTCTCACTTCTCGCGATGGAGCCAGCATCTGAGTGCCTGACGTACAAGTCGCGGAGGCCGTCGCCCTCATCAAAGGCCAGCATCTGTATCAGCGGGATGCAGTTCGTGGTGGGGAACCTGCGATCGCTGAAGCTGGCAAAATCCGCGATATCTGCGATGTAATCTCTGGGTGCAAGTTGTTGTGTGTGTTTTTTTACCTGTTGCCCACACGTGAAACCATGCAATGAAGGTAAGATTCACCAGACAGCAACCAAGTTCACCCACCCAAATTGCCGCTCAAGCTCGGACTTACTGATTGAAGGCACCTAAGGACCGGTTGCTCTCCTTCCCAAAAAAGAGTGGAGGTCGAAACATTGAGATGGTTCCCACATATTCTGAGGAGGCTAAATTCACAGCTGGAGAAGCTGAATATTTTTCTGGTTGGACGTCGATCGTTGATACTCAGCTGCATCCAGCTTGAGCGCCCTTGCTGATTCATTACAAGGGCTTGGTGTCCGCCAAACTCAAGTCACGCATCATTTGATCCCCTTGCGGCAAACAAACACTGCGAACATGTGGGACTGGGTACAAGGGGCTCCTTTTTGGTGGTCTTTGTGCTCCTGGCTTCCCTTTCGGTACGTGCAAACATGTTCCGTGTGGTTCCATTACTATCATTATTCTGGCCCAAAATACTCCATGTCTCCTTGTCCTTGCAGGGCGAAACGCATTACTGCCCACACAGCAGCCGAAAACACGGCCTACGCACAGTGACTACCATTGAACCAGCCTCAAAACCAGTCCCAGCTGAGACAAATGGCCAGCGGATCCTAAGATCCTGAGATGTTCTAAAGGCTTTCTGCGCTGTCCTGGCAATGGCAACTGCAAAAGACAGCTGGTCAAATGGGACACAATTCAGCCAAATGCCATAGCTTGTGCAGAAGAGCATCTCTTAGTTTTTTTTTCCTTTCTGGCATGACATCTGGCAATAACCAAATGGGACACATTTCAATCACTGGGGCGCATACTCCCAGGGAATACAATCATGCTTGTTGGATGCATCTTGGTTCATGTGGAGAATATGATGAGACACTCACAGGTTGCAGACCTGGCATTCTGCCGCAAACAACCATAGTCCCCAATCCGGTGCCCCAAGAAATAAATAAGCCCCTTAAAAACAAAGGGAACCTCGTAGAGAGAAAACGCTGGGTTGACCACTGGATACTGCAGGATAAGCTCAACGCAATGAACACCTGGTAACGGTTGATGGTGTGAGACTACATGCCCTGTAATGTTTGGCCCATGCTGTAGGGTGCTAGTACTTGTTTTTGGGCTCTGTCATTTCAACTCTGACCGTTTAGTGGAGCGCACACAGGGCACTAGCTACCTTGATTTCAACCTCCGACTAGCGAGAGGAAAAACTTGCCGGGTGACCTCAAGAAACTTGTACACACCCATGAAGGTTCCTCAAGGGTACACACCCATGAAATGTCCTTGCACGACAATCCCGTATGTTGGTGAGGGGGTCCTGGTAATTGGGTGTCCTTCACTGTTCCATTGGTGAGTTCTTTCGATTCAGATTTATCAAGGCCCCTTTCCAATCCGTTTCGACAGCCTCGATGCGCCGGCTTTTGCTTTGGGCGCCAGAGTTGGCGAGTTTACCTTCCGGGGGGTTCCGCGTACGTACTTGGAATGCACGACTTGGTTTCCATTTGGGCGAGCAAACACCCAAATTTATACCGCTCAAAAGCCCTGTCCACCCAGAGTTTGGTGATTTTCTGGGTAGCCAGTTTGGGATTCGATTGGGAAAAACTGCGTGCAGGAATGTCAACGTTATGCCATTGTCTGTAACATGCTAAACGTGGAACATGTCAAAGTTGCAGTGTTAGTTGGCAAGAACCTGCCAGTTCGTCAGCAAGCAGAGGACTTGCAAACACTGTCAGGGCCACATGACGTTTGAAACCGGGATTTCGTCATAGTCCGCTCTTCTGAATCGATATAAAACAGGGATCCCTAATCCTAATCCGCAGTGGGACTCCACCACAACGTGGGAAGGCGATACCACTACCATCTAGCAAAATAATGATTCAGCACAAGCCAGCTCTTGATGGTGACATGTTGATTTTCAAAATGAACAGTAGCTGACGTCACCACACAGGCCCCACAATGGTCCGAGCTGAGGCGGAAGCTGGTCTGACATCAAGTTGGACAAGCACTGGCAGCAGTTCGAGATCGAGCCTCAAAACATGAAGCAGCGTGTAAGGGTATGAAGCAAAGGACAACTTGTTCATCTCCTGGTGGTTTCTTGTTGGCAGCATCTTTAAAGATATGGGCTATTCAACACCAGTGTGTTGTGATTGTTTATCCACTGTGTTGTGTTGCACTAGACCCTTTCGGATGGTTCCCATGTGTCGGTGTGTTTGTGGGCCCCGTTGGGCTTGTTATGGCTCACGCAACTGCTGCGATGCGTTCAGATTGACCTTGCCATCCATGGCTGAATGTAGATGCGAACCTACTACTGCTTGAACTTTCTGAACTCCAAAGCAGGAACTCCGAGATCAAAGGCCTTTAGCCTCTGTTGGAAGGGCTTAGATGCAGCACCCGTGAAATTGAAAGTTTCAGCCCCCCCCCCATCCTCCCCCCAAACTTGCCAAAGCGACCCCAAATCAGCCAAAAACGTTTTATACAAACAACCATCGCCGCGGGGATTTAAGGCCTTCAACCTCTGAGCTGAAACGGGCTTAGATGAACCGCCCGTTGAAGTATGAGGGATCCGTGCTGCATGCACGGCACGGCTTCCCGCAAAACAGCAGCTCGTGCCACGCAACACGCGCGCTCGCGCGTCTTTGACGTTGAAACCAAGGGCACCTTGCCAAAACAGTCGGGGCGCAATGCGCAGGGTTCTCGACTCGACCATGCTATTGCGGCGTCATGCCACCGCGGAGCCAGCTACACGTGAGTTCAAGCTACCATCGCGAGCACCCTACCTGACTGTGTCAGCAAGGGCTCATCGTAGCGCAAGCAGGTGTTAGTCAATAGGGCTTGTTCAGCTAGTCAAGCGTTGGCGTCGTAACTATCGCTTTCAGTTCGATCGACAGCACGCGCCAACAACCACGCGTGCGCCGAAGCCTGCGCTCTGAGCGGAAGCCAATCTGCGAGGCAGGCGCCCGCAAAGTTGCGACACTTTTGCTAAGGGAAATCGGGCTCCCCTTCCAGCCTGCCCTGCGAAAAACCAAGAGATGAAGCTATGAGCGATTTCACCGACACTTTCAAACAGAATCGCCTGTGTTTTGCGTGGAAAACAATGAGAAAGCAAGAAGTCATGGAAAAAGCTGTGAAACAGCAAGAGATCCCGAGAACCCGGAGAAAAGCAAGAGGCAGAACAAGCTGGCCCCTACCTGCCTGGCATCTACATAACACGCAGTATCGCCCTATGGTCATGTCGTTTGGTTTCATCGCACTCCACAACCTCATTAAAATCCCTGTTAGTAATTCTGTATAGTAATTAGACACAATATAGCAATATCCCTTATGGCAATCCCTTGTAAACTCTTTACTTGGGCCTCTGGGTAGAGCCCCCGGTTTTATGCGCCAACCTTTCCGGAACCTTGGCCCGTCGCTACGAATGGCAGAGACCCCGAGAAGGAATCATTCAGCTCAGGAACATCATCCTTGGAAAAGTCGACCTCACACCGTGCTGCACCATCCAGAAGCACGCAATCTTCGACTCTTCACCTTCCGGGCTATCCTTGGCCCTTCTCTACACGTTGGTGGAGTTCGGAAAAGCCATTTGCTGTGCACCATTTTGCTGCTTGTTTTAAAGGACACCAAAAGGAAAACCCTCGTTCTAGGGGGGGGGCGCCCCAAAAACAACAAAACCATGTCTTTCTCACAGCCCCCCAAACAAGACCTGCCAAAGACTCCCCTAAACACATCTCTTTGGGAAAGACTAAAATAGACAATGCTTGGAGGTGTGATTGGACCAGTCTCTCCTTTTGGGCCACTCGGTTATTACTCGGCTCTGAGATCATGGGGTGCCGTGCCGCAGATCTCGCGGAAGAGCCGCGTGCTGGCCGTGTAGGGCAGCAAGCGGAAAACTGGCGCGGGGAGCGCGCCAAGCCCAACAGCCCCGAGTCTCCTTCTGACTTCAAACACGTGGCAATCACACACTAGGTCCTCCAGTAGACAGGATAGAAAACGGGTACCCTTTCTTCTGTAGTATCTATTTTAGTAGGGCTACCCTCCCAAAAAGGGTAAAAGGGCACTACTGGAAAACCTGGCACAAAAGAAGTCCCATGTTTGAAGGGTCATGGAGAGTCCAAATACCTTCTGACGAACAGGTATTCCACATATCCCCGGTTTGTCATTTCTAGGCGCGATGTCAACCCCTGACTAAAACCAGGAGGTACTTACTATATACCATTCAATTCAAAAGTGCGCTAATGTCGGGATCTGAATCAGTATTGGGTTGTGGGCAAAGACCATTTTTTCCGCCCTGGTTAAATCACCCTTCTCCGGTGGTATTGCAATCCCGACCAAATTTCTGTTCTGATTCCAATCGTTCTCCAGTCACAGAGGGTCCCCTGAGTTGCCCAAAACAAACACAAGAGGTTGTGTTTGGCCAAGTCCAAGGGTTGAAACCCTTTGCCCGCGATGGTGAGAACTTGAAAAAGGGAACCAGTCCCCCAAAGTTGCTTTGGTAGGTCTCAAAATAGGGGAACCCCCAAACCAGTGGTTTCCCATGGTTTCCCTTGCCGGTAATAAAAAGCCGCGCCCAGTTAGTGGGTTGGCCTTGAACAGAGTAAAACTGGGAAAATCAGACGAATTGGATCCGACCGATTGGTGAAACGGTAAATATGTCCAGTGGCGCAGTCGACAAAACAACATGTGCGTCACCATCGCCTGTGAATGACCCATTGAAACAACACCAAAACGGGCACCCTAAAGAAAAGCACTGTTCGACATGTGCCACCTTGCCAAACGGTTCAGAGCAACATGTGGCATGGGCAATTCACAGACTATCCGACAAGGCCTGCGCTAGCTGCACGCCCGCTAACATGCAACCACAAGGACTCCAGGCCAGTGCTTGCTGGTAAGACCTATATGTCACAGTAACTAAATGCAGGGGGCAGGCAGCGGCTTTCTCGCCCGGCTCCACTTACACCTCAGACTAGATTACACGGGCTTTGACGTAAAGAACTGGGCTTTCGAAATGGACTTTGCTCAAAAACCCACACTAAATTAGACTTCACTTCAGCCTCTCGGATCCGTGCAAAGGTCACGCGCAAGAGCCTTAAGCATGATGATTCTCATAGCAACCTCGGCTTTCTGTGATATCAAAGTCGGCCATTCCCATTACTCCATCAGTTCAAAGATGGCTGCCTTGTAATTACACAGATTGGTCCAAAAACTTGGTTTTCCACAACCAGAAAGTAGCTCAGCAGCCCGTTGAAGATATGCTCGCCGAAACATCGATCCTGCGAATATTTGATCTTGCAAATTATCTTCCCCAGACTTCCTGATGTGCGCACACCGGAGCAAAGACCACAATCTTGACGTCAAGCCAACGTGCCTGCTCAGATTGGCCAGGCTAGAATGACATGGAGAGATCGGGGCGCCTTAAGCAATGAATGACAATATGGCTTCCCTGTGCGCTCTGCCAGTTGACGAATGATCGGTACAACAAGAAACGGATTACACCAACAAACCTCCTGAGTTACACTAGGAAGATCAACTATCTCTGGCTGATTTCCTAGACATTGCAAGTGGGAAACGTCTGACACCAAAAGCAGCTCTGGTCATAAAGAAGGAAGTGCACCCCAAATTTTCTTCGATCCTTGTGTCGCGGAATATGGAAGATTCCACTGTACAAGCCGAATAACCAAAATCGAGTCTTGCCTGGCTTGTAGAGCTGGTTTGTCTGCGGGTTGGTGCAAAACCCGGGGATCTCGTAGGTAAAGTTGGCCTTTGAGTTCGCAAACCTGCGGGTGCTCAGAATCGACAAGGACGCCCAACCCCAATTCAACATGCGCTGCCTCGGTGCGACTCGGAAGGGGTATCCGTCTGGCTTGGCAACCTTGAAACTGCTCAGACTGCTTCTTTGCTTTGTTTGTGTCTTACTGGTTCCTTGATCCCTGCGAAAAGTAAAACTTTTCGTGAGATATTGTGGTAAGCCCCTCTAAACTCTAAGTGTTTCAAGGCTATCGCAGGGAAGCCCCGAGGTGTGTGGTCAACTGGCCATGTCCTGCTCACGTGTCAGGGCAAAAGGATCCTTACAGTCCCAAGTAGTCAGACTCGACTTTCTCACGTGGCATGCGCTCAAGTCGTGTAAACTTGGCTTGTGCTCGTGCTCAACAAAGTTTCTTAGATCTCATTTCAAAGTTTCTTAGATCTAAACTCAAAGTTTATTGGATCTAACTTCAAATTTTATTGGATCTAATTCCAAATGTTTGACACGTGACTCAGTCTCAACATGAAACTGCCGGATGTAAATCTAGTTGTGCAAACGAAACATCACCCCTCGAGGGAGCACATGCAATGCTCAGAAACCGCAATTGTGTGTGTGTGTGTGTGTTTGTGGCCTATCAAAGAGCAGAGCGCAGTTGGATTAAGGCTGAAGTGGTCTTTTCGCATATTGACACTTGCTTGGCAACTTGAGCTGCTCATCTCACGGCTTTGAATCATGTGTAAACTATGAGGCCATGCTACTCTTCTCAACGTTTTCTGATTGCAATGGCAGGCTCACAAAAAAGCCGTGGCTGGCACTGCAGAATAGCATATTGGCTTTTTTCATACACGTTGTTGGCACTATATACCCGTTGTGCCTAGTCAAAACTCCCTGGTTCATTTCATTCCCACAAACAGAACAGTCAGATTGATGACATCCACCTCAAGCTTCGCAGTGAATGCAAAATGGTAGCCTGTCAACTTACGTGGATGGACTCCGAACAGTCCAAGCTGTTCAGCCAGAACGGTCACATGCCACGTCTTAAAAAAAAAAAAAAAAAAAAACTAACTCAAGGCATGAGCCAACTCTTCCCGGAGACTCTGCCAACGCTTCCCGGAGTTGAGAGGGGTGCCTCAAAATGGTGCGCCCATGTTCAAAAAGGGAAACCAGAAGGATATAGACCATCTTTGGGACCCACTACTTTGACACAAACCCCTATGGCTGAAGGCTGCGCTGTGATGACCACAAACAGGCTCGTTTTGAAAAGAGATCAGCATGGAGCCAAGTGTTTGACTGGACCAGTTTGGACACATTGCCCATCCTTGGCATTTGGTCATTCGGGTGTGTGTTTCTTGGGAACCCTATGTTTGGTTGGTGTTTCATGGGAAGCAAAGAGGAAACAAATCATTTTGGGGGGTCCCCGAAATAGAAAACAAAGCCACTTGGCTCCTTATGTCCTCGACTCTCTAGCCGCTGACCTTGGCAGAAAGTCCCGGATCACGCTCAAGATGCGCATCATCTTCGGTACCACCTGCATTGCTGCCA